AACTGTGTGAATGCTTTGCAAATATTATCCTATGTAGTATACAGAAGTTAAAACAGCAAGAGGGTATTTTTATTACTCTGTTTTAACAGATGAGCAAACTGAGTTTGAAAAAATTACATAACTTGTCCGAGGTCTCTTAGCAGAATAGTGGAGACGGGATCCCAGCAGCAGTTTAAGGGAGCAGGGAGCAAATGAGCAGTGGGACTGGGGCGAAGGACTGCACACCTGAGGTCCCACTGCAGCATGGTCAGAGCGAGCCGTGGTCCCCTTCAGGCATCTCTGTTCTATTCCAGCATGTGTCTTGCTGACTCCAGGGAGTGGACATCACTGAAACTCAGAATATGCAGCATGGCTTCTCAGTCAGTCAGTCAGTCAGTCAGTTCTGTCGCTCAGTCGTGTCCGAATCTTTGCGACCCCATGAATGCAGCATGCCAGGCCTCCCTGTCCATCACCAACTCCTGGAGTTTACTCAAACCCATGTCCATTGAGTCAGTGATGCCATCCAACCATCTCATCCTCTGTCGTCCCCTTCTCCTCCTGCCCCCAATCCCTCCCAGCATCGGGGTCTTTTCCAATGAGTCAACTCTTCGCATGAGGTGGCCAAAGTACTGGAGTTCCAGCTTCAGCATCAGTCCTTCCACTGTAGCACTAGTTTATTCTCTGAGCCCTTTACTGTTGCTTTTAACATATCATTTCTAAGCTTAATGCCTCTTTCAGAGCCAGTTGCACCAGAGCACTGAAGACATGAAAAATTGATCCCCTGGTCATCTTGTTTGTTTGTGTGGTTTCCTTTTTATGTTTCTGATGCAAGTCTAGAAAATAGTTTTGTTATATATACACACACACATGCACATACATATATATGTAGAGAGAGAAAATATTAAAATGCTTATTACAGAAAACTTGGAAAGCATAGAAAAAGTGGAAAAATTAATCTCCATAAGATCAAATATTTTCCACCATTAACATTCAATCTGTGACCTTCCAATGCTTTTAATTACTACATGTACAGTTGTATTACCAAAATCAGAATCTGTATGATACATTTGTTTTGTTCTTTCTTCATTTAGTCATATGTCATGAACATTTTCTCATGCTAATAAATATTCTTCCACTACCTGATTTTGGATAAGGAACATGATAGGCTTCATCTAAATGTATTGTAGTCTAATTAATTTGTTCTTTCTCATTTTCTTTAATCCCATGTTTTTGCCAGTTATTTTCATAGGACTTCTGCTGTTACCAGTGTTGGAAATCCAAAAAGGGAGCATGGACTGTTTGGCATTAATATCTGTGTGAAGGATAACATTGGAATCATGTTCACTCTAATTATTACAGAATTTTAAGACCTTAACAGAAGAGATCTGAGCAGTCACCTGGGGTAGCCTATGACAGGGCACCTCCCTCCTACACCATTCTCGACAGGTGAACCAGCCTCTGCTCACAGACCTCCATAAGCAGACACCACTCAGCTCCTCTTCATCTGGGCTAATGTGTTATGTTCCTATCTTGAGCTTAGGAACAAGATTCTGACACAAATAGATTTTGAAAAGTTGTTTCCGAAACCTTTAGAAGCATGTGCTTCAAGTGCAATGTGATTTGAGAATCTGGGAAGGAAGTCAGAGGCAGGATGGCAGGCAAGATAGCGCAGAATGCTGGCCTAGCTAATCGAAACCAAGGAACTGCTGCAGACAGGCAGGGAGTGTTCTCTGATTTGCAAGCTACAGTTATTCTAATTGATTTCTGCATAGTTGTGGATAGGGATCTGCCCTTTCCATTTATTCTTCTCTCGACAAGTAAGATGTGAAGTGTTGTTCCATGCCTTTCTAATTTAAATGTTGCACATGTTGAGAACTAATCTTGCCAACCATTTTAAACCAGGCCAGAAACATAACACACTGTTGTTATTAGTCTTCATTATTTGGTTAGAGCCAACATTTTGTTTGAAACCATGCTGCAGTATAAATCTCCTTTATAGACAAAACCTGCTTATGCCGTAAAGTAGATGCAATGGGAAGGCAGCTGAGTTTTCTTGGTGAGCTGCACTTCTTCGTCTCATGAGGCTGTTAAGGCCAGGGATGCTCATTTTGAGAGACTTCTTGGGAAATGAGATTCATGTTCTTTGGGATCTTATACCTGAGCTGAGACATATAACTAATCTAAGGTGGTGTGTGAAAAGTACACATACACAGAGATCAGAGGGAGTTAGAGGAGAAACAGAGCATTACCTCACAGCCCATACTGGGGGCTGTGGACAATGTCCTTGAAGCCATATGCACCACATTCAGTCAACAGGCTGAGTAAACCAGCTGTCTCCTACACATCTGCACTACTGCTTTCCAGATATTATGTAGACACCCTGGTGGCCAGTAATATTTTTAAATGAATTCTTGCATTATTACTATTTATTGTAACTTTTTGCCTTATTGTGTATTTTTGATCAGTAGATTTGACACACATCTGTGAAATTTTCTCAAGTTATAAATGGTTTCGATTACTTGAAGATTAGAAACTTCCATTGTTTGAATCAATGCTGTCCACTAGGACTTTCTGTTATCACGGAAATGTCTCTGCCTTGTCCAGTAGTATAGTCACTAACTCCATACAGCACTTGAGGACTTGAAATATGGCTAGTGGGAACTGAGGAACTGAATTTTTAATTTAATTTTATTTTAATTGATAAATAGATAAACATTAAATAGAGGATACCATGTTGGACAACACAGTTCTATTGAATTCCTTTGTAGATAATTTTCTAGAGGTCCTCCCTCCTTCCCCAAGTTCTTTCTGCCACACCCCTTCCTGGTTTGTTGAGGCTTCTACCCACTGTGGGTGTCTACCAGGCCACTTCTCAGGTGCTCCTATTCCTGAAGGTTCTTTAGCCCAAGAGAAGGGTTCTCTCACAGATGCTTAATGATATGATTTTGAAAGCCTTTCCTAATCATAGAAGTGAAAAGGAATGGTTAGTTACACTTTTCTTTCAACCACCATCCAATCCTTAGGAACTTGAGGTTTCTATTTTCCTGGGATACATGAGATAGGGGTTTTCATATTTAATTTGTTTCAAAGGTCATATAACATGATCTTTCTTTAAAAGTTGACTGCTTGGTAGGCTGTAAATAATTATTAGAAACTCAGAAATCAAAATCTTATTCTGGGGCACTCATTAAGCAAGACATTTTCCCTTTCCTTTGCTCTCTGGATGATTATTGAGAGTGACCAGAAGGTCTTCCTTCTCTAACTTTGAAAAAAAATCAATACAGCTCAGAGCATTTTATAAGTTATGACTCTTGGGACCTTCTAAGATCATCATGGGCAGTGGCAGTATATGATATAATAACTTCTGTTAAGGTAAAATCACAAGATGGTAGCCAAATATCTCTGAATGTAAAATTCACCTTTGTATTTATATTATGATTGATATTTATTATAGATACAGTGCTAGTACGATTAGTAGGTAATTCAAAATCATTATCTTTCCCAAAAGATGTGTGTTGTGCAGTGTTTTAAAGCAAGATGAAGGCAGAAAGCAATAACATGTAGAATTCAAAAAAGCATATGAATGCATACCCAGGGAGCTCTCATCAAATGAATGACCACCTTTCACGGGCCAGCCTGGGAGGAGGTGTTTCTCTGGAGGAGGGCCTTCAAGCCCACCTGCTCCACAGGGTGAAGGTGCGGGCTGCTCTCTGCCGCCCTCGGTCGAGCCGTCTCACCTCCTGCTCTTCCCGCTTTGAGGCTCTGAGTTCTCTTCAGGGGTCAGACCCAGAGCAAGGGAGGTTTCATTTGCTGAGCCCAGAGGCCAGAATGTGTCCCCCGGCTCCTGCTGGGCAGTGTGCCCTGACACCGGACACGCTGCGAGGCAAGGAAGCTAAGGCCACTGCACCCCCGGCCCCTAGTGCACAGTGAGATGAGAGGGGAACGCTGATGGGTGTCTCGTGACCTCCGTTCTGTGTCTTTGGATTCTTCCACTCTTCACCCTCTCTCATAAATTTCCTCCAACACATGAATCCAGACAGTTGTTTCTGATGTTAAAGTTGTGTTGGACTTCTCTTCTCATAGCACCTCCATTCGCTGTGGTGGTGCTGTTTTCGTGAAACACATGCCTCCGTGGCCTGCTAATCTCCTTTTGATAGGAGATACCTGGGTTGTTGCCACTGTGGTTGGCAGTTAGGTGTGTGTCTGTATGCTGGGGACAGATCCCAAGGGGAGGCGGTGAGGAGTGGAGCATGGGGAACGCCAGCCAGCAAAGACGAGTGAGCTTTTGCGAATGTAAAATACCAGCCTGAATTTGCTTCCCTTTCTATTCTGTAGTAAACACAAAGGAATACAGATGGAAACTTAGTCTTCTATGAGCCCCCAGGAAGAATATCCATCCTCTCCCTGTGCTCTTGAGGCCCCTGAAGTGTTTGAAAGGAGCCAGAGGAAGAACATGCTTTGGGGTCTGTTCTGCTCCCTCTGTCTGGGCCTTCCTGTGCCCAGACTGCCACCCCTCCTCCAGCATCTGAGGAGCTACAGGTGACCCTTTCCGCAGGACCCTGGCCTTCTCCTTGGTAGATCTGTGTAGGAAAACTAATGGGCAGTGCTCGGCATCCTTGTCTCTCTACTGCAGTTGGTTTAGGCTTATGACTTCTTAACCTTCATGTGTTTGCTTCATGTATTTTCCTTCTGGTTACAAAATTATGCCAAATGATCGTATCTTCTAAATTTTCCTTTTTCTGCTTGAGTCTATATGTATATATTTCTTTGATTAGAATATCTTAGCCTGAAAGCCTCTGATCTTCACTGTAGGAAACTAGTTCAAGGCTAATTAACCTGTCAGCAAACTTTGGATTGCTAGATGTTTCCGTAATTGCCCTCAAATGTGGTATTGAGGTTGCAGGTTTGAGGAAACACTTATGAACAGTGGCTTTGGGGAAATTAACCTCTCCATTTTCAATACTGAATTCCAAATTACTGTGTATTAACGCATCTGTCTCCTGCCTCTTTTAAAATTTCAGTACCTACTAGAAATGAAAAGCTTAATCCTGCCCCCAGAACACATCCTGAAGCGAGGGGACAGTGAAGCGATAGCATATGCGTTCTTCCATCTGGCGCACTGGAAGAGGGTGGAAGGAGCTTTGAATCTTCTCCATTGCACGTGGGAAGGCAGTAAGTGATTTTCTTTCTTTAACATTTTTTTTTAAAGCATGAAAACGTGCTAAAGCTGTTTTTGCCCTGAGCATTTGTGATGAATGATGAAGATTTACATATCTATAGCTGTACTCTGTGATGTTCCATCACAGAGATGTGGTTAATTACCCAGGCTTTCTGGTTTCCTGGTGGTGGTGGGTGTTACTGTGGTGATGTTTCCTCTGCACCTCAAAAAGGCACGTTTACACAGCGGAGGGGCTGGATCTGGGCTGTTCCAGCAGTCATGCTGTGCTTAGGTGCTCAGTCGTGTCCAACTCTTTGCAACCTGCCAGGCTCCTCTGTCCATGGGAATTCTCCAGGCAAGAATACTGGAGTGGGTTGCCATGACCTCCTCCAGGAGATCTTCCCAACCCAGAGATCAGAGGAGCACTCTACTCCTGCAGACTCTCCTTGGAGACCCAGACAGCCCCTCGGCATCATGGGAGTCTTTGGCATGGAGCCAGGCCCCTTGCTGGGCTCTGATGACCCCTTCCAGATGGCCTTTCTGGGAGGGCTGGCTGAAGAGCCACAGTTATCCTCCAGGAGAGCTTGGTTGGCCAAACAAAAAGGAGCAGCAGTTATGCTTCAGGACAGCTGGACCCTAGTATGGTGGCAGGGGTAGCCTTGTGTGTTGAGGAATAATTGCCTGTTAGATGGATGTGGGGATACATTGATCTGAGCAGCTGCTGGCACCATCATTCTGTGTGAGAAGAAGCGGCTGTAATGGTGGGTGAGACATGCTCCCGGCCCCAGAGAAGCATCTCATCCAATTGGAAGGACTAACCAGCAGCATTAGCAGCTGCTCAATGATTTTTCAGACGGGAGAGACCTATGGGGTGGAGCAGTCATGGGTAACCTTATGGGTCATATGAGATTTGAACCAAGCCTTGAAGAACTAGGACAGTCTTATAAGCAAGGACACTGCGAACAGTGCTAAGTGTGGGGAGGGGGGAGCTGTCGGGGAGAATGAAAGGGCTCAAGATTGCGGATTATTGAACATGTATATTGACACTGTTATCATAAATGTAAGCAAAACAAGCATAACATGTAGCACGGGTTTTTCCCCCCTTCATGGGGGAAAAGAAATTTGAGTCTTCTGATAATTTTTCCTTAGTTCACCCCTACTCTGATCAGCCTCACAAGCAAAAGTCTTTTTAATCCCTTTCACTGTTTATTTTTGTTCCTTCCATTTTCATTTTGCCAATCTTCTACTCTTCCCTTTTCCTGCCCTTCCCTAACCCAGCAGGAATCTGAACTGGTACAGGAAAGGGGTGGGAGCAGTCAAATGAGATGGAGTAAAAGTAACTCAACAGAGATAGGACTCAAGTTGATTGCAAGTTTTTTGTTTAGTTGTTTTGAAAATACTTTTTCAGAGAATTGTAGCCGGTCTAGTTAAATCATTTACTGTTTATAACTTGAGGGGTGGTGACTTGGTGGATATTTCTACACTCACTCTGTAAGTGTAATAACCTATTCCAAGTGTCCTGGTCCTGGTATTTGGATGTGTTAAGACAGCAGACTCTTGCTCAGGGTGTGTGTGGACACGTGTATAGTTCTCTCTGACTTGGGCTTATTGTTGCATTTATGGTGTTCTATACAGATGAGACAAAAGGAATTTTTATTTAAACATGAGAAAGAAAGAGATAAAGCCCAGCAAGACTGAACATGAGAGGCCTTACCTAGTATTAGTCATGGTAAAATTAAATGGACAAATTGGCTTACCAAGTAAGAACATATGTATAGATTCAGTTCAGTCGCTCTTGAATGTTGAGTTTTAAGCCAACTTTTTCACTCTCCTCTTTCACTTTCATCAAGAGGCTCTTTAGTGTTTCTTCGCTTTCTGCCATAAGGGTGATAGCATCTGCATGTCTGAGGTTATTGATATTTGTCCCTGAAATCTTGACTCCAGCTTGTGCTTCCTCCAGCCCAGCGTTTCTCATGATGTGCTCTGCATATAAGTTAAATAAGCAGGGTGACAACATACAGCCTTAACGTACTCCTTTGTCGATTTGGAACCAGTCTGTTGTTCTCTCCTTTGTCGATTTGGAACCAGTCTGTTGTTCTATGTCCAATTCTTACTGTTGCTTCTTGACCTTCAATGTATGGACTGGTATCTTGGAAATATAGTAATAGAAGCTTATTGATTGGATCTGATTGATAAGATAGTTAGTCCTATAGGAAAGATCAGAAGAGGGGATGGGGCAAGAAATTATAAAGACACAGTATTAGGAATGGCGTAACTGTAAAAATAAAAAATAATGAAAAAATTCTGTTTGGAAGTTAGTTACCCCATATTACCAGATAACAATGGGGAGATGCTTTGGAAACAGTGGGAAGGACAGTGACATTGTGAGAGATGGGAAGTGACACAGTGATCCCCACATCAAGCAGTGAGGTACCACTGGGGGGGATGTCATTACCTCAAATTAGATGGGTGGAACACTTTATTAGAATAAAAAGAAACGGTGAGTTTTTAGACATAAAACAGTATGGCAGGGCAGTCAGGGACCTATATGGAAGGCAAACTCTGCATTTAATACTTAGAGATAATTAAGAACCAAGCCAGGAAATTACACAGCTCTTCGGTTTTCAAAAAGAGAGTCATACCATTAAGTTTTAGAAAAGAGAACCATGAGAGTGCTTACCAGGTGCTGACTACCTTAGTTAGTAGTTAATTAAGGACTAGTAGAGGATCCCAAGAACCTTGAAAAGTGTTTGTGTAACAGTGTAATTCACAGAGGGTTTGCATTTCCATCATTTCATGGACTCCTGATAAAGTTCTGAGTCAGGCAGGACAAAGATGGCCATCTTAGATGTTCAAGAGAGAAGCAGGTTCACTGAGGTGAGCAACCTATTGAACGTCTGCAGGCACTGATGTTAGAATCAGGTTTACTGTGTCTTCACTGCTCTTTTCTGTAATGCCAGCTATTTAGGCCTTACCTGGATAGATTAAGGAGAAGAGGAACAAGCCATCTCTGAAACATTCTTTAGAAGCCCTCAGTTTATACCACTACTTACATAAGGCTGGGGTATTCCTATGCCCTTTCTAATGTTTTGAAAGCTTATCATTCTATATAAAATTATATTTTGTTATTAAGTATTGGTTTAAACATTTAAAATACAGAATGAGCCCAAGTTTATATAAAAAATACATTCTATGTATGAACAAAGGTAAAAGAGGTTAGAAATAGATATACTTTTAAGTAGATTTTTAAGTGATTTTTTTCTTCATATTTGTATTTTTCAAACTTTCTACAACAACCATATATATTTTCTTCAAGCATAAATACTTATGTGTATGTATGTATGTGTGTATATATGTATATACATGTATTTAAAAAATGATCTTTCATTACAAACAGTTTTGTCTTTGTTTAAAAAAAACAAAGCTATAAATCTGTCCTGAAATTTAGGAGAAAGAATTACCACTCCAACTTCAGGCAGTTGTGTGCAATTGTTTGACAAGACTTCTAGATCTGTGTCCATTCTAAGTTAAGTGGAGGCAAGACTTGGATTAGAATTCTGGCTCAGCTACCCAGATATTAACTGGTATTAACAGCTACCCAGATTTACTGATATTAATGTACCCATTTTTTGACAACTGTGAAGTGCTGATGATGTTGAATGCCACCGCCCTGTTCCAAGTTGGTGAGCCTCAGGGCGGTCGTTCTGAGCTGCTCCAGTACGGGAACCGCTCCTTTTCCCTCTCTGGAGGTCAGTGGGGCTCCCCTCGACTGCCCGTGCCTAAGCGCAGGAGGCTGCACTTCCTCCAGTTCACCACTGGGTGGCGCCTTTTGACATCTCCAGTCTCACAGTCTAGGGTTTCACCTTTAAATCATTTTTTTCTTCATTCTGAAATTTAAGACCATTCCCCAACTCCCTTCCAGTTCCTCTTTTTCACTAGAAAGAGAATTCAGGGAGGAAGGTAACAGTACCTAATTTCACTAGATTCCATGTTAAAAGTGAGTATTCTTTCAAAAATTCACTTTATCTTTTAAAAAAGAATTAGAAGCCTTACTTATGTCAATAGTGTTGGTTAGAGGTGGAGATGAAGTATAGTTTTCTTTGCTTTTTAATGAGTTTATTATGTTGGAACATTAGTCATCTTGTGGAATTAAGTGAGTCTCCCACCAATCAGGCTGAAATAACTCACATTTTTGATAAAACCCCGAAGTCCAGCTGATGCATGGCAGAAATTGTTTGGGTTTGAAACATATGGTGGTTTGAAAAAAAAACCTGAATCCTCAACCACAAATACATCAGCATTTCAAAGGTTTGTAAAATGTTTGATTCATCACTGTTCCAGCCCCTGAAATTACACAATGTGTTTCTCAAAGTTAAGATAATCAAGAAAGAGGAAAAGTTTTAATTTATTTAGGATTTAAAAACATATTCCTAAGTTCATTACACAACCACCATATTATCTGAATTATATTTATTTTAAGCACTGTAGGTTCTGGTTATGTACACACATGACTGCAAGAACATGTTGAATATAAAAAACATACATGAATGAGGAAAGTCGTTTGAACTATGTCTTTAATTACAATGGTATTGCGCCTTATAGTGCCCTGTTTTAAGTGGCACATCTTCTAATTTACCTGTATTAAATTCTGATGTGGCCTTATCTCCCTCCTGCCTTGATATTTTCAAGGCTCTGATTTGGCTGTATTTATTTTATAAAGTGAGGTAGTCAGCTGACTGCAACTGGAGAAGATTTAATTTTCAGGTTCCCTATGTCAGAAGACTAGAATACCATGGGGTAAATCACTTAGCTTTTCTTTGTTTCCATTTTCTTCCTCACTTGATCTTTATTTTCTTTTTCGAGATTTTTTTTCCCAAAAAATTCACTAAATAATGTATAAGATTTGACGGTGGTGTTTCTTAGGGGGATTAAGGCAAATCTTTCCTTTGAAAGGAGAAAATGGCCCATTGTTGAAGCAAAGGATGAGATTCTGATTCTAATTTATTCTCTTTGAACCTGATGGTAAATGCTACTGGCTGTAAGATGTGATCCTTGGGGCATTTCCTCTAATCAAACCTTTCCTCCGAAAGCCTGGCACCTTTGGGACTGCTAAAAGAGAAATTCTCCCACCCTTCAGCCCATGAATCCAAGGCCAAATTTTATAATTTGGGAGAAAACAATGGCAGCGGAAGTCCCTGGCCATAACCAACTTAAACTAGTAGCCGGACTCCAGATATTGTATGATGCTTCCCCCCCTACTGCCCAGTAGAACCAGCTTGCTTCTTTAACTTATTCAGTTTTGAGCAACTGACCATAATTTGGATCCACTGGGGCTTTTAAAGGGAAAATTCTGTCTCTTCCCTACTGTGCATTAATTTATTCATTCCTTTATTCAGTGAACATTTGTAGGTATTCTTTTGGGGATATCAAGATAAGTAAGACTCTGAAATGCTTTGGGAGAAACAATGTGTGTGTGTGTACACATATACTCACATACACGTGCACATGTATATGTAACATATAGTGTGGGTAGGAGCAGTGCTATCATGGAAGCAGGAACAGAGGATTAGAGTGTTACAGGTCACTAACAAGTTAGTGACTCTGCTCGAAAACTCTAGAATTTTTCTTTGAAATTGGAATAGAACATCATGTAATCTAAGAGGAAAGTGGTTTTCCAAGGCCATATAACTAGATAGTGAAAAAATATAGATCCGAATCCAGAGTTTTGACTTCTGAATTTTCTTTGTTGTTGTCCCCAAAGCCTCACAAAAGACAGAGAGCTTTTATGGCCATTGCCTATGTTACAGTCAACAGAAGGTAAAATGTGGGTTTTGACGATAATTTTCTATTCTATCATTTGTACTTCTAATTGCTCACAGATAAGCAGCATTTGTACTTATAAGCTAGAGTTTGACCTGATAGAGCAAGCGGGAGCTCGGGGTTGGTGGGAAGGGAAGGCGAGGAGAGAACTAGCTTTCCCCGAGCGGTCAGGCGCTATGTGTAGACACCTTGATCTCTGCTGCCACACGTGGTCCCTTTAACGGCCTCTCGAGACCCTTGGTGTTCTCATTTGTATGGACATATAAAATGACCCACTGGACACAGAATAATGACCCACCTGAAGTTATACAGTTGTCAGCCTGGTCCAGTTTGGCTCGTCATGAGCTGTCACCTCCACCGCTACCCCATTAGGTATACGCCATCACAGGGGAACTTTCACACTTGTTTTCATGATTATTGTCTCACCTGTTTCCCACCCTGAGCAGTCAGCTCCATCAGTCCAGAAACAGGGCTCACATTCCTGCTGTACAAGGAAGATACTCACATTTTGACCATGTAGAGCTGGGATTCAAACTCAGTTCTTGGTATTGCAAACAATCTGTATAAAGTTCTCTGAGATCCTCTTTGAAAATTCATCATAGGCAAAGTATCAAACATTGCCTTCTATCCTTGCCTATATTGTGGATAGGATGAAAGGTCATTAGAATTCAATGGGAAAATCAAGAGTTAACTTGTTCATGTATCCATCCTTGTGTCCGTTCTTTGGTTCTCTTGATTCTTTATCCAGAATTGGTCAAGTCTCTGATGAGTGCAACACTGATATAGGCTTGAAACCCATCTAGAAAATGTGTCTGGGTGGGGCCAGAAGGCAGTAGTGTAATGTCTCACACGTTATTGTGGAGGGCCTGCTGTGTTCACTAAGAGTTCCCAGTTTCATTTTGCCTCTCCCACAAAGGCGCAGTGGAAACCAAGGTAGGGGAGGAGATGGCACAACGGAAAATGCAACAATGCCACTGAGTTCCATGTACTAACACTGAATAGTCCAGATTTTTTGTTTTTTTTCTAACCAAATTCACATACATTTTCATGTGTTTCTTCTGAAATGTATCATTTTTTTTTTTTGATGGAAATATTTTAGGAGGTCACTCATGAAATAGATCAAATTCATAAAACAGTTCAAATGACCTTTTTTTTCATTCTCACTTGCCCTGCTAAATCAGTGTGTTACTACTTGCACTTGCAAAAGTTCTGGCCGTTCAGCTAAAGCCCCAAGGTCCTTGTGTGGCAGTTATACATATGTGCAGTGAAAGGACCAGGAGGCGGGGGGTGCAGCTGGCACGGCTCATCTGGTGCCTCTTCCCGCTCTTTCTAGACCTCCAGTGCTTATCTCACACTTTGCTGGACCCCACCCAGCAGGGTGGATAAAGGATAGAATTGCAAACAGAAACTGTGTTTGCTTTTGTTTAGTGAAGCCAAAAGTCTTAACATTATTTTATGAACTCGATGTAAATGACAACTGACATGAGAAAGAGAAATTTTAAGGGCACATAAGCATCCTTGTTATCACGGGGTTTGGGGGCAGAGGATGGTACAGGAAGAGTGTGTGTGTATTCTTTGTTGAATCATATATAATCAGTGTCTTCACCCTCTCCAGAAAGACCAGAACTGATTAGAAGGGAAATAGTAACTTGATGCACAAAATCTGTATGCATGCCAAATACTGGAGTAAAAAGCGTTTGGTATCTGATTGAAAAGACACCAACCAACCATTTGATTTCTATGGTTGAACACTCTCAAGATCTTGCACTCCTATATTTCATTTAAAAAATTGTTCCCTGAAGTGCAAACTGACTTCAGTTTTGAATAAAATTTAGCATTCAAATTTATAGCCACTTTGAAAACTGAGGGTTTATTTATATCATATGAACCTGGACAGATTCTTAATTACAGGAGCCCTAGTGCACATGAAAATCTGGATTTAAAAAAAAAAAAAAACCTTCCACATAGGTTTTTCTACATTTTTGGGATGCTTTCATAGCAGCCATCATTTATGGGAAATGGTATTAAAATCCTGCCATATTGCAGTTTAAATGCCCTGCTTCCCAGAAGAGAGTTTAGTGTATCCTATAAAGCACTAAGTGAGTTTTTCTTTTTTTTGGTTTTGTAATTTTTTTCCTTCTCTTGAAAACCTAGTTCTACTGAGAGAAATGCTGGTTCCTTCAAGTAATCTTTGTGTGTTAACAACTTGTGCAGGGAACACCTCTTTTGCTTGCTGTAATGGGCAAAAGTCATCTTGGTTTGCATGAAAGAGAAGGTCTGATTGAACTAGGGTGAGCCTTTCATTTTAAGAAGAGTTAAAGTCTGGGGTGTTTTTAATGTTTTAATCTCTGTTTAAGAGGTTTCTGTTACAAGAGGAAAATTGATAACATTTTTACCTCAGCCAACTGCCAGCAAACTGGCTCTGCTCTAATCCCACGTTTGTAGTGATTTATATTCTCCGTGGCAACGTGCTGTAACCTCAGAGTGATAGCACTGTGGTGCAGATTGACTGCATTCCAAATGCTGGGATCACATACATAATGTTTTTACTTTTAAATAATATTCAGACACCAGAATAAATACCATATGTGCACTGATGCTGGTTACAATGGAACCTTGTCATGTCTCGTGAGGGAGAACATTCTTTGTTTCTGATTTCTGTTTGAAATAAGTATGCAAAAGACAAATCTGTACATTGACAGCATTTTGAGAAGACTTTGGTAATTACACAGCTGAGGACATAGCTAAGAGTCCTTGAAATGCAGCATTTGAGGCTGAAAGGTTTGCTGTGTTGCCGCCATCCCTCTTTGACACACATGAAGGCAAGGATCGTAATTCGACATTCCCAGTGTAGGGTCTAGTTTTTTTATATTTCATATCTATGGCATGCTGTAGTTGCTGGACATCTGTGGAAGAAAAATTACCTCCTCGAGTACTGTTCATAGGGACAGTGAGACTAACATGCTGATGACATTGTAACAGGGAGAGTAACGCATGTGAAAATGGGAAGAGATGGATTGACTGGAAAGTCATAATTCAGTGTGAGACCTAATGTTATCTGATGCCCCAAAAGCAGAGCTTACGTGGCCTGACATCCTCAAAATACAAATACTCAATCTCTCCAGATCCATTTTTTCCCCCACATGATGTTGAAGATTTAAAAGTTTCATAAAGTTTAGAAATACCTCCCAAGTCATGCACTTTTAGATTCTTGTTTTTATCCATCTTGGTTGGAATTCTAATCCACCTAGACATATTTTTAAAATAGACATGCTAGAATGCCTTTCATATTTGTGCATCTGTGACATGCTCTCACAAGTCAGTCCACGTTGCTTCTTGGGGAAGCATTTCCATCCAGGTTTGTGTTATTACTATCAGCTGAGCTATATTGAATTAGTGCTCATGACATTTTCATAATATTTTATAGCTGAGGAAACCGTGGGTATTGGAATTGATGGCTTTGCCTACTCCTCTGCACCGCCATCCCCACCCAGTGTTGTGAGGTTTGTCCAGATATGTAGTGTGAGGTTAATGTGTGAGTCATTTGTCATAACACATCTCTGACAATTTCTCTGGCACATGCCTCAGAATTTGGGTAAGTCTCGCATCCTTTCTGAAAGTTACTTGTAGAAATGTTCACCATTATAAAAATGCTCAAAATGCTCTTCGTGAAGTTGAGATGTTATGAGACAAATATTGTGCCTCTAACATATTGTCTCTCCTTTTCAGCTTTTCGGATGATCCCTTATCCCTTGGAAAAGGGGCATCTGTTTTATCCCTACCCCATCTGTACAGAGACAGCAGATCGCGAGCTGCTTCCATGTAAGTCTCCCCTCTGTATTCCTCTTCTGGGCTGGTGAGGGTGGTGTGCTGACAACGGGGATAGAAAGAGGTGGGAATGATAAATGTTTATGATGTTCCTAGTCTTCTATTACTCTTCTCCCAAACCCTGTCCTCATTTGATAGCATAAGCATTAAAGTGAGTTATGTGTGTGGGCTTGGCTTCTTGCTCCTCCACGTCTTTCCAGATTCATCAAAGGGAAAGACCCCTGGTGACTGAAGTTTAGATGAAGAGGCATCATGTCCTGGCTGGTCTGAGCACAGAGACCCTAGTTTGGGGCAGATGCCCCTTGCTGGGCGGATCCACTGTGCGGGGCTTGGCCTGGGCTCTCCCGCTGGTCAGAGGCAGTCTGCACACACTGGAGTCTAAAGGAGAAGCAGAGGAGCTGCAGAAGAGTCTGGCAGGGAGAGCAGGGCCGCTTGGGGATGCTGGCATTGCCCCCAGAAATGGACCTGTGGGCCGGGTGGGCGTGCTTTCTGCAGTGATGCAATGCTGTTGGCTGGCACGATTTCCCGCGAGCATCTCTTGGATGGCATGCAGTGAGCTGGTGCGATGTGTGCAGGGCACACGTGCAGCCTCAGCCCTGTCCACAGTAGGCAGAGGGCAAACCCTACCCTCGAGGGCCTTAACCAGCTGGCAGTTGGAGGGCCTGTACCGCACATGGGAAGTATGATTTGGTTTACTGTAATCCAACATTGTTTTGACAATTCCAGCTAAATAGTTATTATCAAATTATACTGTGTGTAAGGAATCGTGTCCAGGCCCTTCATGTGGCCCTGCCTTAGGACATACTTCTCTCCCTCAGATAATAAGCTCCAAATTTTGACTATTCTCTCTTTCCTGTCCGCTCTCCTGCCACTCCCACCCTGCACCGGCCCCAGTTCTATCACATCTCATAGCTCTAACATAGTTAGATGCTTTGCCCAGAGGACCAGCTGAACTTTGGGGCCCTGGGTGCTTATAAACTGTCCAATGGCCACATTTTTCGAGATGGTTCTAAATCTCCAAAATGGTGGGGTCCAGGTGCAAAATGAGCTGCCGTCTCAGGATGAAGGAGCAGCAGACAGCTCTTTTCTTTTTTGGGTGACGCGTTACCTCCGGAGTTGGCGGCCGCAGTGGTACGGTGTTCCTCACCATCTGCATTTTTGTGTAAAGGGGTTGGGTGCCTCACTCTGCATTAGATTTGGTTTAGAAACAGCGTCTGTGATGGGCCCACACTTTTTCCTTTCAGCTCTCCCTTCAGGGAGATCCTTATTAGCATTTCTGATTTCTGGTAGGAAAGGCAGTTTTCTAAAAAGTACATTGTTTTAAAATGTTTTAATTGTGTTCAAACATGTTTCCATGGGGGATAGCTTCACTATTAGAACAAGATTATAGTTCTTAAAAGATAGTGTCTAGGAATAATCTTTACAGCCCTAGAATAGAAAATTATGACTCACGTTGATTTAATTGAATGCAGTGGTTCAAGTCTGACTTCCCTTCACAGTCACTGGGTGTTGTGGGTAAGGATGAGCACATTAGTGTTCAGCACATTAGTGGTGCGGGGTCCACGGTGGCCCTGAGCACACGTCCACCCAAGGAGAATCCGAGCAGGTTGACTTCCCTGGGTTCAGGTTCAGGTGCTTGTTTGTGTTTGTCCCTCCCTGGCCCTCTACCCTCTCTTGTTTTGGGCTTAGAGTTGAAAGGTCGAGGAAAGGCTTGAGACCTTGGGTTTCCTGAGGAAGATGTAGACCCTTGGTCCTTTGGTTGGAATGGCAGTGTTGTTCACACACAGCCACATACACGGCTTCCTTCCGCGGGGCCAGCCTTTGGTGCTTTTCTCTCTGTGCAGGTCACTTGATTTAAAAGTTATGAAAAGCTCTAAAATCTCCCATCATTGATGGATGGATGGTCCTTGCTAAATGTCTCTCCCTTAGGGTGGTATCCTCCACTGATACAGTTAGATTGTACCAGGGAAAAATACAAGCTACACTAATATCTGGGCTTCCCAGGTGGTGCTAGAGGTGAAGAACTTGCCAGCTAATATAGGAGATGCAGGTTCGATCCCTCGGTTGGGAAGATCCCCTGGAGGAGGGAATGGCTACCCACTCCAGTATTCTTGCTTAGAGAATCTCATGGACAGAGGAGCCTGGCGGGCTACAGTCCATGGTCACAAAGAATTAGACACGACTGAGTGACAGCATACACACATACACACTAGTATCTCCCTATGACAGTGATTTAAAGATTACAGGACAGTGACAACCTAGAGAGAAGAGTTTTTCTTTCAGGATACTTGATTTTGGATTTTACACGTTTTGTTCAGTGAACATGTGTTTTATAATTTGAATAAAGTTTTGTTTGTGTTTCCTTTTGAGAAAGGAATGCTGTGTATTAGGTGTGGATAGTGTCACTGTCCCTGCCCATGAACATGTGACATCCCCATGTTAGCTCCATCATGCCCTGGATAGAGTCCTGAAGGGTAAATATGGACTTGGGAGAAGCATTAGGTCCCAGAGGCTGGTGGAGATGTTGGCACTCATTCATGCAAGGGCCCTACGTTTTTCCTTTCCAAAAGGCTTCAGCCAAAGCTCTGAAGAGTCCGTCCCCTGAGAGTGCATTTCACTGCAACTCTAACACTTCCCTTTTGTTCTTCTCCACAGCTTTCCATGAAGTCTCAGTTTACCCCAAAAAGGAGCTTCCCTTCTTTATTCTCTTTACTGCTGGATTGTGTTCCTTCACAGCCATGCTGGCCCTCCTGACACATCAGTTCCCGGAACTCATGGGGGTCTTTGCAAAAGCTGTGAGTATTTGCCAAGGGGGAGGCCTCAGGCAGGTGGCAGGGAAAGTCATGAAAAGCAGCATAAGAGAAACGGGGGAGGGTCGTGTAAAAGTGAGTGTGCTTGTACTGATCCTTTGCTCACTGATACTTCATCAGTGGAATCAAAATGAGAAAGTGTAGCTTGTTTATTACTGCATGCCTTGCCTCATTTCACATACAAAAAAATTCTCAGCAGTTCTCCCAAAATGCGCGAGTTCTAAAAGAATTACATGAAGAATTAAAGAAATCCTAGCAAATGAAAAATATTTGGGAGGTTATTCAGTTTTATATAAATTGAATGACATTATTTCTAATCTTTAGGTATTGTAGGTCTTTCCTTCAAGAAGGATAGAATTTACATTTTCAAAGATGATTTAAATTTTAAAAGTTGTAGTATCAACAAATTAAATTGGGGAATGAACTGAGAAGGTGTGAAGGGTGTATAGTATTAATAAGTATAGAAATATAATGTTTAGAAATATCAGAATCCATTAAGACTCTTTAAAGAAGGTTATGGTATATGTATAGCTGTATATGTATAGAAACTAACAACATGGTAAAGCAACTATACTCCAATAAAAATTTTTAAAAAGAGATGCACTGAGACTATAATATATACACCAAATTTCAAACTTAGTCTTGGAAAAGAATATACAGTATCTCATTAGTTACTGTACTGAATTCATGTTAAAATGGTTATTTTAGATATATTGAGTGAAATAAAATGACTATTAAATTTTTTTCTAAAAAAAAAAAGATGATTATGGAGAAGAGCTTTAATAAGAAAAGTCATCTGCATTGACAACCAAGAACCATTGTTTCCTTGATGAAAACTGACAATTTCCACCTGCACACACAGTGAGGATAAGTTTACTAATTTTGTCACAGAGGAGTTTCAAACAGAAGAAGTCAGAAAAAGAATACCAATTGTCCCTGGAACTCCATTCTGATTTCAAGGCAAGTGGAGTCAGAAAGGATGATTTCTAACTTGGCTGGGTTGATTTAATCCCTTTCCAGATGATTGACATTTTCTGCTCGGCAGAGCTCAGGGACTGGAATTGCGAGAGTATTTTCATGCGTGTTGAAGATGAACTGGAAATCCCACCGGCACCTCAGTCTCAACATTTCCAAAACTGAACTCATCACCCTCCTCCCCCCACCACCAAAACTGCTCCTCCTCCCGTATCCCTGACCTCCGCCAGTGGGTCTGACATCCACCCAGTCACTCAAGCCAGAAACTCAGCAGCCCTCCCAGACTCTCCCTTCTCTCACCCCTTACATCCCATCGGTCTCTGTTTCCACAGTCTGTCGGATCTAACCTCCTGAGCCGCTCGGCGGTCAGTAGATGGAACTCACCTCTTATCTTCCTTCTTCCCCCGAGACTCTCTCTCAGCTTAGATCTTTCTGATTTCTTGCAAGAGTCTTAACTGGCCTCCTTTTTTCCAGGCTTATCCTCTGCCAGGATTTCCTTTGTACTGACCCAAGAATGATGTTTTTAAAAAATCTGAGCATGTCACTTCTGTGCTTGAATTTCCCCAGTGGTTTCCCACCAACAGCAGGATAAAGGCACAGGCCTTTAGCATGGCACACAAGGTCCTTTGTGATCTGGCCCTTGCTTGCCTCTTCAGCTTGTCTCTCTCAACTCTTGCCCAGGCACTGCTCTTGGGCCACAGTGGATTTCTCACCATTCCCAGATGCAGCAGGCTCTTGTGCACCCCAGAGCTTTTGCACTTTCCGTTCACACTGTGTGGAATGCCCTTCCCCATTCCCACCAGCACTTGTCCAGTCTACTAATGCCTCTTTGTTCTTTTATACTCGGCTTCTTTTCTGAGTTCCTCCTAAGCTGAGTTAGACACCTTTCCTCTCTGACCCCACCCATGAATACCTATATTATTACATTTATTGTACTGTATTATAATTGTTAAAATCTTGTCTGACCCCCTTTTAGAATGTGAGCTCCTTGCGAGCAGGACTGTGTCTTCCTCATCTCTGTATCCCCACAGCTTTGCCTTACACACAGTAGGTTTTCAATAAATGATTATTAAATGAATAAATGGTAGTGGTTTCTGCAGAAAGAATCAGAGTAAAAACTCAGATACAGCTTAGCATTTCTTCTTTTATAATTATAATCATAGATGCTAATAGTTGAAAGGGACCTTAAACAAATTGCCTTCAACAGTAGCTTGATAGACATCACCTAGATGCATCTTGAATACTTTTAGCCATGGGGCACTCACCTGTTCAACCTGGAAGCCTGTTCCATTATTGGATCACTCAGAACTCTTCCTTTTATTGGTCAAGTCTGCCCTCCTTTAATTTCTACTTATGTTCCTATTCTACTCTCCAAAACTATAGCGAACAACTCTACTTCCTGTTTGAAATTCTTGAGGCAGTTACTACATTCATGGCCACCTCTTACTTCTAACTTACTACCTTCTGTTTTCTTCAGACAGAATATCTTAAAGTTCCTTAACATGATATGATTCCTGAACCCACTATCATCCAAGCTTCCACTGTGGATACTCCCTAATGTATGAGCCTATGCCATTCATTATTTGCTTCTATCCAAAGCCAACCTCTGAATTAAAGTAGCCGCCAAAAGTCTGGTAGATTAGAGTATAATGTAGTGAAATTTAAAATAAGAGTATATTCACAACATTCGACAACGTCATTGGCCCAGTGTTCTTCCTTAAACTAATATACAGCTCTTGGTGGGAGTTTGGGATCAGGACAATGATTCTTAGCCTCTGGTGTGCAGAGAATTCACCTGGCCCCACCACTAGGAGTTCAGAGTGTTGAGTGTTAGCACCCTGGAATCTGTGTTTTTCACAAGCTCCCTCCCCACCCACCACTCATTATGAAGATGGATGGGTTGAGGACTATTCCTTCAGAGAACACTGGCCTCATGAAAGCCAGCCTTCTAGCAGCCATCTGTGGATGCATGGTGCAGTGTCAGAGCCATTGAGGTGACTGCTTTCTAGGAACCAGTGACTTCACCCTGGCTGCACCTTCAGATTATCTGGGAAGCTTAAAATTTACTGATGCCTGATCTGCCAACCCAGGGGACTCTGACTTAATTGGCCTGGGGTGCAGCCTGGGAATCTGAGTTTTCAGAAGCTCCCTCTTGGTGATTTGGGTGTGCAGCCCGGGCTGAGAACCACTGTATTATATGGAGTGACTGCCTGAAGCTGCGTTAACCAGGGACAGGGCTAGAAGGAATGGCAGATGGTACATAGACTACAACTGGGCATTCCCTAGGTTAGGCTGCGTCGCTGCCACAGTATTGCAAAGATGTGTTCATTACAGATTAGACCAAGGGCCACTCTCCTTTTAATGTTTCCAAAGCTTTAGTTTTGAGTCAGAGACCAAATGATTAAATAAAATATAAATTTGCCTTTACAGTCCTCTTATTTTATATGCTACCAAGGTGTGATAGCTTGGTCAGCTACTCACAGTTTTCAAATGTAGTTAAGATAAATTTGCTTCCAAACCTCTGCCTGGAGGATCACATTCATCTCCCCCTTCATTAAGGTTTAGCAGTTTCCAAAATGTCTGGAGAGATTCTGTGGGGAAGGAAGATGGATAGCCTGAAGGAGACAAGCCCCGTCTCCTTCCTCCTCCCCCCCCTCCGAGTCTTCGCCACATTTTCACTCTTGTCACCTCATCAGGCCCCTCGTGAAGACCCCCACAGGTTATCACAGCTGCCCTAAAGGCTGCCTGCAACCATTTGCAGCTTGTGAAAATGATTTTCTCAGCCCTCGCCTGAGATAATGTCCCTGGGATAATGACTTAGTAGATGGAGAGAGATTGCACTGCCACCCGCCAGGCTGCGTGCAGCTTGGGAACTCTCCAGTGTGTTTACATGTTGATACGCAGCCAGTAAGGAAGCCCGCAGCCAAGTGTGAGCCACTGGAAAATAGTAAAATGAGAGGCTTCAACTGGCTCTCCCCGCCTAATCTAATCTACCTCAGTGACTTAGAACTAACTCTTCCTAGAATGTTTGGTTACCAAGATAAGGTTGCTCATATAAATAAGTGATCGTTCCAAACCCAGCCCCTCACAGAATGTGGGAAGGTCAGCGTGCTGACCTCTTCTGCTTGAAGGGCCCTGTCTTTACTCCTCTGGTCTCTCTCCTTCCCTGAGATCCAGCCCCCTGACTCCTGACTCTCTTCTTCAACTTATAGGCCCTGACCTCTTTGAAGTCTGATATTGATTACAGTGAAATGTCAATTGTCTGATTGCAATAGGGCACCTGGAACTTATTCAGATAAGCAGAGGCTTTTCAAATGTTAATGAAGCATGTTGTGAGCCATGACCTTCTTCTAAATAATGGTGTTTTGGGAAAAGGAGGATCAGGCAATTGAAGTGTCTCTCTCTTTTATTATTAGTTCAGTTGCTTTTTCTCACCACAAGACACTGATTAAATTACAGTGGGTGGGTTTTGGACCATGTATCTCTGCCCTCAGGACAGGAGTTTTGGACATTGAGATAGATGAGCTGTTCCAGGGTTGCCTGGTGTTGCTCATTCAGACTTAACTTTTCAGGCAATAACATTTCCCAAGTCCCTCAGTGAAACTGTTGTTTCTCCATGTGCATTGGTTGAGTTTGGGGCCAGAAAGTTTTGACTGATTTTCAAACTTGCAAAGAAATATAAATGAGCATCCCAAGGAAGTAAGGCATGTTCCACCAAACTTTTTCTTTTGGTAGTACCTCCTGATGAAAGCCACTGACCTTTGTCTAGCTACTAAGTGAAAAGAGCTTATTGGTTTCAGGCACCTTATTACATTGCTGCTGCTTCCTTGGGTGAGGGATGGGGAAGAGGACATGAGGAGTGCTGCTAAGGAGGAAGGTAACCTAGTAACAAAGGGTGCGCATCCCAACTGGGTGAATGGGAGAGAACTAGGATCTCTAGGAAACAGTTCAAAGGATTCTTTTCTCAATTCTCCCAAGGATAGAACATCCTAGATACAAGGGAGAGCAGT